GAGGAGGAGGAGGAGGAAGAGGAAGAGGAAGAGGAAGAGGAGGAGGAGGAGGAAGAGGAAGAGGAAGAGGAAGAGGAAGAGGAGGAAGAAGAAGAAGAAGAAGAAGAAGAAGAAGAAGAAGAAGAAGAAGAAGAAGAAGATCAGAACAAAGCAAAACTGACAAAGTGTATTGTCCACCTTTGCTCCAAGGTTCCCGTGGCATTTTTCCGTGGTGTTTCTGCTTCTCCCCGCTTGGTCTTGCCATTTGGTCTCACCCAAGATATCAGCTCCGGGCCTCCGAGCCCAGCCCAGCAGATTAAAAAATATGCAATTTTTTACTTTAGCTTCAAGTTCCCACAATCTATAAGCCTTCAAACCTTCAAAATATTCCTATCCCTGTGGTTCCCAGTTTTGGAGCTCTGTCCTGGATCTGCTTTGCCTAGTATTCTGTGGTATTGCTGACGGTGAACTTCACTGCACCTCCACCCTAGCTGCCATCAAGCCCCACCCCTCTGCACGTGGTCTTGGATCTGTAGAGATGACTTGAGAAATGGAGATGTTTACTGGCAGTTAGCTAGATGTATCTAGAACACAGAGAGAATTTTAAGTCTAAGAGTACAGAAGAAATAGAATAAAGACGTGGCAGTGAGTTGCTGGTAAATGTACTGAAGTACTTTGGAAAGGAATGCCTGATGAGAAGAAAAAAAAAAAAATTGGAAATGAGCCAAGCATAGTAGCAAATGTACAGCAAAGTAGAAATGCTAGGGAAATAATAAATGGTTTTATAAATATTAGAAATAGTAGAATCATGGAGTTAGTAAAGAAATGGTGTTAAGGCAAAGTGAAAGAGTGAAGTCAAAACTCTTAATCTATTAAAATGAATTCCTTTTAGGGAAGACAAACGGAAATATACTAATTATTATGAAGATGGCCCAAAACCAGGTGACATGTCATTTTGTTATACTTGAAGGTACCATGAGTTGTAGCTGACTCAATGGCAACTAGCAATTTAACAATTGAAATATGGGTGGGAAAGTTAACATGTGTGAAACACAAGCAGTATACATCATTGAATTACTCTGAAAGAGTCATCTGGAGCTTCTGACATTTCACACTTTGTAAGGATAACCACAACACGTTTCTATGAAAAGTTACCACATAACTTCATGCCACCAGGGCACTGACCACATGGGGATGCCCAAAGCCAGTATGTTTGTCTATAACAAGACATTGAATAAACTCCAGCTATAGGAAATTATTAATGAACAACAGTTTTAAAACTGTTGAGAATTCAAATAGGTTTGTGTATTCAAAGTGACATCTTTCATTTTATACAAAAGCAATTTTGTCATCATAGCAGGAGTAAGACTCTTTGATTCGTTAAATGCTTGTTGAGTCATTTCTGAGTCATAGCAACCCCGTATAGGGTTTCCGAGGCTTCAAATCTTTGTGGGAGCAGAAAATCTCATCTTTCTCCCTTTGAGTGTCTGATGGGCTCGAGACATGGGCCTTGTGGTTTGCAGTCCAGTGCTTAATCTATGGAGCCTCCACACTCCCTATTATTTTACTAGAAGAGCAAAAATTAAGAAACAAAACCAGACCCCCAGTTCTTTGGCATAAGCAATTATTATAAGTCTTCAGAATGCCTACACTTATTTATGTTGTTGTTATAGCTAAAATTTCTTAGTTTCTTTGATTGTCTAGCTTTAAGAATGAATAAATTCTACTTATTTTTGACATCGAAATAGGTTGCATTTAGTCTTTCTTATACGTCACATGTCACTTATAATTTGAAGAACAAACAAAACCCAAAACACTGTTCTGTCATTGAATATATATATATTTTTTGAGTTTTGAAAGGGAAGAAGCAAATTATTCAATTCCCTCTTGGCTTCAAAAGTTTTACTTTTTCCTATATTGCAAAAGTAAAATACAGGGGAATAAAGTGCATGAAATGAATTATGTAACTAAATACAAAGATCTATGTTAAAAAAGGGTAAGATGTCCTGAAGAACTACTTTTCACTTAGTAGTTTGTAGCAGTGTAAGAAGAGCACTGTTCAGATTCCTTGTCTAAGAAATCATATCAGACTATACCTAATTCTTGCTAGTTCTAGCACTTAATTTTCCCCTGATACACTTCAGGACAACACTACTCACTTTTAAACTGGTCCAACGAAGACAAAAACTTACTGGAAAATTCTAGACTTCATAAAATCTTTTATCAATGTTCTCTCTGTAAGAATTAAATACGATAAAGCTTGAGAAAACAAAGGTAGTGTTGATGAATACACACATTTTCTTAGAATTCTCCTCAATACAAAAGATAATGTCTGGACCAGTTTTAGGATATTTACTGAGCACTGAAGTGCTTACTCAATGCCAAAGATTCAATTCTGACTAGTAGTATAGGGAACAGTAGGAATTTCTCATAGAGTTGCCCTAAGTTGTAATCTTCACTGGAGTAGACAGCTAAAACATCTTTCTACCATGGAACACCTGGGGAGTTTGGAACCCAGACAGTTTGGTTAGCAGCTGAACACAACCACTGCACCTAGAAGGTTACTTACTGAAGTGTTTGGGGGTATTGGTGTTGCACCTTCAAATCGGTTCCAGTTCATAGCGATCCTGTATCAGATCTCTGAGGCTGTAAATGTTTGTGAGAGCAGAAAGCCTCATCTTTCTCCCACAGAGCAGTCCAACATGTAACCCATTTCCTGGCAAGGACTCCTTATTGAAGTGCTTAGAAATGAATAAACAAATTTATATAAGCTATTGGTGTGCTGCTGTAGGATTAGCAAAGTTGGTGGTTCAAATCTATCAGCTGCTCCTCTAAAATGCTATATAGGTTCACCATGAGTTGGAACCAACTCTATGACACTAATCAATACATCAGCTGCCTAGGTATGTAATATTTGCAGGAGGAGACTAAGACTATTGGTTTACAATTGTCTTTCTTAGGTTGTGATGGAACATCATTCTGTTCTGTTCTACTTTGTACTCATAGTGACTCATAGGTCTCTATGAGTTGGAGACAGCACTTAACAATAACAGCAGGCTTCAATATTCTCAAGATACTTTTTTTTTTCCTTACAAAAAAATTCAGTTGTCTGTGTTCAGCATTTGGCCTACTTCACCAACAAGCCAAGTCTAACAATGATAAAACTGGATGTAGATATAACATAGCTCACTGAATATGATTTTGTATTTACATGCTACTATAAAACCGTGTTTTAAAATGGAATTTCAGGATATTTGCTTTTGATTAACAGGCACCAATAAGAACATTCTATATGTTTACAACAAGGGTAGTCATACTGCATCAGAAATATTTCTTGAAATTTTGAGGAGGGAATCATAAAAAGCACAGGATGAAGAATGACACTATAGATTCAATTTAGTCAAACTCAGAGCAAAATTCTCAGCAGCAAGTAGGAGACTCAGAAAATGCTAACTTTAATTACAAACTTTATTTGTCAGTACAATTCACAGTTTATACATGGTGCATCCCACCATATGAACTTTCTGAACAGTTATTGAGGAAATGGGTGTAGCTTGTCATTCTAAAAGAGCCTGACTTCCTAAAATTTTGGTTAGATTTTTAAAAGTTTATAAAAGTACCTTCAACAAGTTAACTGAATATTTACATTTCTAGCTTAAATTTACGTTTTGGAAAATAGGCATCTATTAGTTTTTGTCTTTTAAAAATGATCCTGTTTTGTGTGTGTGTGTGTGTGTGTGTGTTGTTTTGTTTTTTAAGACTTTAATCTGAATGCCACTTATTCAGACAAAAAAAAAAAATTAAAAAAAACAAAAAAAGAAAGAGTATTTAGTTTTGCAATTATATTTAGGGAGATCATTCTCTTTCTGCATTTTACAAATTATATAAACAATGTACAACAGACCTAAGTATAAAAATAAAGAAAAAAGTAGCAATCAATTGGGTGCCATATCTGGATTACTTCTGAATATTGGAAACATCCAAAGAATTACAGGATATGAAATTCAACTAAAAAGGATTATCAGTCTTTTCTATCTAAAAATAAAACAAATCAACAAATCCCAAAAAAACTCTCAAGACTGAAATTGTGCTGTAACAGCGCTAGCTCCACTGTCAGAGATGAATTGTGCCTGCAATCTGTATTTCTCAATGTGCAAAGTCACAGTGATACCAGTTTCAACTTCTGCTCTCACACTCAAGTCACAAATCCAGAGGAACAACCTCGGAAAGCTGCACCTTCCTCTGACAGCTGTGTCACCTCCCCTCGTCTGGCAAAAGTCACCCAACGGAAAAAAAAAAAAGTCACATAAGCCTCTCATACGTCAAAAAGCAAATAGATGCTGGCAGTATAAAGTTTATTAGCAAATGCGTGTAACACATTGTTTTGCTATCTTCTTTTCATCAATGGAAATTCACACCAACTGTTAGAAATCACCTTCAGTAATATCCATTTTTAAACAGTGTTCTTCCGTCAGGCCATTTATGTATAGAGATTTTCTTCTTCCATCTCTAAAAAAAATGTATCTTTATTAATAAATGGTAAATTCCAAGTTCTGCCAGGAAAAATTTGGAAGCAGCCAATTATTACAGATCTGGTAGTAATTACACAGTATGCATCTAGCCTGGTAGCACAATGGCTAAGCTCTCAGCAGTTCAAATTCACCATCTGCTCTGTCTGTGGGAGAAAGATACAGCAGTCTGTTTCTGTAGAGAAGTACAGATTTGGAAACCCGATGGGGCAGTTCTATTCTGTCCTATAAGATCAGTGTGACTCAAGATTGACTTGACAGCCATGGGCTTATGGGAATGGGCATTGATGTACCAACGGTACCTGAATCAAGTAAATATTCAGAGGGGCCATATTTACACCCCATTTCTTTGCAGTGCCTTTGCCACTATGGTTTCTGAGCGTTGCTTCAATGTCCATCTAACTAGGCATCTATTCATTCGTTGGGTGTCTTTACTTCAGTTACTTTGCACACTGTTTCCAACCAAGTATGGTGGTGAAACAGGAGCACTGGGTATAGGACTAGAGAGGTGAGCCTAAGGGTGGGGGTGGGGAAGGAGAAACCACACATTAGCTAGAGAAGTTCTGTTTCTTCAGAAGATAAGGCACTGACAGAAATTTCTTAGGTAAAAGGCTGCATAAGAATTTCTTGCCATTTACAAAAAGAAATGTTGTCATCCATAAATGGTCCATATCTAGGCTCAGTTAGGTAGACCCTGAAAAATTAAGGACTTATCCCTCAAAGCTACATTATTAACAAAAAAAAAAACGACTATAATTCATTCTGAGGCCTTATGGCACATTAAGAAAAGAGGGAGGAAAACAGTCTGGGCACGAAAAGGCATCAGACATTGCTTGTTTTCCACTTGTCCTAGACAGTGGGCCATTCAACAAGCATCATTGAAAAGACAGTGCTGGCTCAGAATTCCAAATTCTGTTGATGGTAGATGACCATGATGTGTTTATCTATTTGTGTTCCCCCCTTTGAGCTCATGCACAATTTAAAAAATGCTACCAGCAACAGTCATTAAGAGCATACAGATGTATACAGATGTCCTCACCTATGGCTATAGGCCTACAGTCCTGCAAACACAGAGCTATTTAATGTTCTCAATAACAGCAATCTCTTCGCCAGCACAGTGTGGTGTCAAACCATTCAGATAAATACTTTCAGTCTTCAGCAAGGGAGGCAAGACATCCCTCTCGCTCGTCAGGTGGTTCACTGACAAGGTCCTCCTACAAGGAGTCAGCTCCTGATTGTGGTTTCCGGCTAGTTCTGCTGACAGTTTCCGTTTAATGGAGGTGGCACGCTGGAATTTGTCATAAATCTCCACACTCAACCGCCTCCGGGTTTCTTTGAATTCAGCTGTGACGTTCGCTGTCCACTCAGCAGCATGCGCTCTGAACTCTCCCACCTGGAGCATACATGCGGAGACAAGAGACACACCAACATGTCGGTAAGCATTTTGTGTGCATTGTCTTCTGTTCAGTGTATCTGAGAGATGAAAAGGAACACAAAGTTTTGACGATATTGGTGGTATAAGAATTGATGAAATTAGGTAAAATGTGGTGAGCCAGATCAGATTCTATTTTATATAGATAAGGTTCTAAAAATTGATATAGGGTGTATGTGCCGTGGAGTCGGTTCCGACTCATAGCAACCCTGGATAGGGAAGTTTTGAACTGCTGACCATGAGCTTAGCAGCCCAACTCATAACCACTAGGCTATTAGAGTTCCTTAATATTAATATATAAAACTCTATAAATCAAATTACATGTCAGAGGCACTAGATGTGCTTGATTTTATATACAAACACTGCCAATGAAACTTTTGATTTTGAAAATGTCAACTTCTAAGTTGCTGATGTTAGTTGCCATAAAGTAGATGCTAACTCATGAGAAACTTACTTGTGTTGAGTAGAACTGTTTATACAGAGTTTTCAAAGCTGTCATGTTTCAGAAGCAGATTGCCAGACTGTTGCCTCTGGGAGGATTTGAACAATCAACCTTTCAGCTAGTACGTGAGTGTTTAAATGTTTGCCCCACCAACAGAGTCTCAACCTCTAATTTAGCTTTTTAAAAACTTTTTGATTTATTTTTAAAAATCTATATATAATTTCACAGTTCTCTTCTGGTGCACATGGGGTCTGTGTAACTGGGAGTTGGCTTAATAACAATTCAGTTTTTGCTTTTGGGCATAGGATTTCAGAATACCCAGGTGTAGAAAGGCAGTAAGATGCAGTAGAAACTGCAAAGCAGAGTGTAAAGAGCATGGATGGAGCTGTATCTCCAATTTGGTGACTTGTGTGGGTTCTGGTAACAATGATATTGTTTGATTGGGATATTAAAGGAAGTGGCAGAGACCATATGTAGTATACAAACTTTCTATGTGTTACAGATTGAACTGTGTCCCCAAAAATATCTGTTTTGACTTCATTCTACGGCGGTGGCCTAGATAGACATACTAATCAGACTCTCTATAACAAAGACTCAAGAAGTCAAGTGAAACGAAATAAGTACAAATAACAACCCTGGATTCCTGAGCTTCAAAGAAAAGGGTAAAGAAGTAGGTTAAAATACTGATTAGAAGAAATGAACGGAATGAAAACAGAACAAGGAGGCATATGAAGGGGGTGAATTGCTAACTAGTTTGACACCGAGTGGCCATTTTGAATTATTGCAAGCAGCCTTCTGATCAGGGCAGGAACCAGATACTGGTTCCCCTCACCCAGGACTACAATGGTGCTAACGTCGATGAGCAACCAGCCAGTTGTGATCTGTTCCTAACCCCACCCACCCAGCCAGTCAGTGACAATTCCCCTCAGCTGCCCCAGACGGCACTGCCTGGTTGTCAGCTGGGCTACTTTCCTCCACTCACTTTCCCCATCCCAAACCTTAGAGGTCCCATATGCTCCATTCCCCTAGAGGCCTGATGTGTGTGCCTGTTGACTAATCAAAGCAAGCTTATTGCCATTGAGGTCAAAGATCTGGCAATGAATGCCCGACAACACCATTTTTGGGATTTGATGCCTTCTACCTTCATGTCCAGTAGCACATATGTGTGTGTATTGCCTGCCATCTCTGTGGTCTGTGGTGTCAACACACTGCTGTCTCTGTATCTGGTGTACATGCATCACCACAGACCAGGTATCACAATGCTGCCACCAATGCAGCCATCTGTGCATGTCTCCATGGACCAGGCCCTGTGATCCTGTTGACCATGTGGCTGGCAGTGTGTAACACTGTGGCTTGGGCACCATGACCCCACCACACCTGTGACTGGTTGTGCAAATTACGTGCATTTCAGGCAGTGTGACCCACTACCTCTGCTTCCCCACTTTTGTCTTTAATTTCTCCCTTTAGAACATTCTTTTTCTTTACTTTCTTAATTTCTTTCTCTTTATCCCTCCCTTGTTTTTCTCTTCTCTTTTATTCCCTTCCTTTTTTTGTTTTTAGTCCCATTTGGCAGGAGGCAGCAACCAGGTCCACACTATACAGCCACACTAGCCCCTCTTATTCTTACCCCCGCCCCACACTGCACAATCTACTGGTGAATACCACAACTCACTCCTGTACCACTTAATCAACAACAGATAGCAGTCATCCCAGCCTACCATTAACTGCTCTACATACACAGCAAACAGGGACCTGTGCACATATTCCCATCCACTACTACACACACTACAAGACAGGTGGTACTAAGTGCTGCTAAACTAGCAAGCAGAGTAACATTTCCATCCCACTCACCCAGATATGTCAAAACAAAATAAAGCAAAACACACCAAAATACAACCATCATGTAAAAACAAAAACAAAAAAACAGTAGTCAACTGTAGTTCACACAAAGAAACAAGACAATGTGGCTCAAACAACTGAACAAAATACAGTGGCAGAAAATATTCCGGAGAAAATAATTGTATTGGAATTCCTATATGATAAGGAAGTCTAAATTTTATACTTAGGATCCTTAAGGAGATTGAGAATAAGATAAAATAAAACACAGATAAAATCAGGAAAAATACAGACAAAACTCTAGGAGAATTCAGAAAAACAATACAAGAACAAAATGAAAGTGAAGAGGACTTAAAGTACTTACTGATGAAGATCAGAGACCACAGCCTTCTGTATGAATTGCATCTCAATGTAAAGAAAACAAAAATCCTCACCACTGGATCAATAAATAACATTTTTATCAATGGAGAAAAGATTGAAGTTGTTAAGGACTTCATTTTTTTTTGGATCAACAATCAACACTCATGGAAGCAGCAGTCAAGAAATCAAACGACATATTGCATTAGGCAAATCTGCTGCACAAGACCTTTTTCAAGTGTTGAGAGCAAAGATGTCAGCTTGAAGACAAAGGTTCGCCTGACCCAAGCCATAGTATGTTCAATAACCTCATATGCATGTGAAAGTTGGACAGTAAATAAGGAAGAACATAGAAGAATTGGTGCTTCTGAGTTATGGTGTTGGAGGAGAATATTGAAAGTTCCATGTGCTGCCCATAGAACCAACAGATCTGTGTTGAAAGAAGTGCAGCCAGAGTGCTCCTCGGAGGCCAAGATGGCCAAACCTCTTCTCTCATACTTCGGACATATTGTCAGGAGGGACCAGTCACTGGAGAAGGATATCATGTTTGGTAAGGTAGAGGGTCAGAGAAAAAGAGGAAGACCCCCAGCAAGATGGACTGGGCAGGTGGCAGCATCAATGGGCTCAAGTGTGACAACAAGAGTGAGCTTGGCCCAGGATTGGGCAGTGTTTTGTTCTGCTGTGCATAAAGTCTCTATGAGTTGGCACTGACTTGATGACACCTAACAACAACAACAACAGCTGATCTTACAATCCAGAAACAGAGGACCCTAGGATCATCAAGGGAGAAGAGCACAAGTGGAATGTGTGGCCTTATCCAGAGAAGCAGTGACACTACAGATGGAAGCAGAGATGAGGACATGAAGAGAAGGATCAACTGAGGACTCTAGCTGAGGAAAGAGAGGGAATGGGTGCTGGCGGCCAGGAGACTGTCTTGTAGAATCATGCCATTTGGTTGTTTAAATTATTACATCTTCCTGAGTGTGTTTGTGTACTTCTACCCACCTCACCCCCCCTAAACAGAAAGAAAAACAGAGGATATTGTAATCATTGCAATAAAACGATGGTGCAAAGCCAATGGGTTCCCATGTAAACTATCACTCAGTTAAAAAAGAATGGAATGGATGCTTTGAAACTTGGAAGAAAGTAATAAATTACAGGGTTACCTCCAAGAAAATTAATAAATCATCTCACCAAAATAAAATGGAAGAAAATCATAAAAACCCAGTAAAAACTAAAACAACAGCAAAAAAAGAAATAGTAACAAAACCTGTAAACAAAATAAACTCAATTCAGAAAAATATATGGAACAAAGAAGGCAGCAGCACCAGACACATAAAATTCAACCAACTAACCAAACAACAAAAATAATGACAACATAGCTATCAATAACTGCACTGAATGTAAATGGATTAAATGCACCAGATAAGAGACAGAGAGCAGCAACATGGATAAGAAAACATGACCCATCAATATGCTGTGTATAAAAGACACACCTTACACACAAAGACATAAATAAGCTAAATATCAATCAAAGGGTGGGAAAAACATACACTAAATGAATTGCAACCAAAATCAAACAGGAGTGGATTATTAATTTCTGATGAAGTAGACACGAAGTCAAAAAAGCAGAAGAAACAAACAAGGACATTATACATTTAAAGGGTCAATCCAGTAAGAGTATATAATCATAATAAATAGCTATACATCTAACGAAAGAGCCCCAAATCATATAAATCACAGTTTCACAGAGATAGGCAACTCCACAATAATCGTAGGAAACGTTAATACACCACTTTTGATGAAGAACAGAGCAACTATGAAGAAATTCACTGAAAAAGAAAGAATATCAAACAGCACTATCACCCAGCTTGATCTCATAGACATATACAGAAAATTCCACTCAACAAAGGCATAATATACATTCTTTTCCAGCACACGTGGAATATTCTCCAGAATAGACTGTATGTTGGGTTACAAAGCAAGTCTCCATAAATCTAAGAATATCTAATATAAAACATTGTCTCAGATATTAATATTATAAAATTAAAAGTCATCAATAGGAAGGCAAGGAAAAACTCAGACAGAAATACTTATGTAGCAGAAGAAATAAACATAAAAATTACAAAACTTCCTTGAATCAAATGAGAATGAAAGTATATTGTCAGGAAACTCACACCACTATAAAAGACCTATGTAAATGGAAGAACAGTTCATGCTTCTGGATAAGAGGAATCCACACTGTGAAACTGTCAGCACTTCCAAAGAGATCCACAGATAAGATGCAATCCTGACCCAGATTCCATCAACATTATTGAAAGAGATG